CTTTTTCCTTTGTGTTTTTTCCTCCCCAAACACAGAGTAAGCTTAGAATAATCAGAGAACTATTAAACTTCTTAACTTTTCTCACATTCCCATAGTATCTACTGTATCTCTGGGACAGATAAAAAATGCTCAGGAAGAATGTCCTTAATGGAAATGTGGTCTCTTACCTTTAGGTCACGGTGGATAATTGGAGTTTTGCACTGATGCAGGCGGGCAACAGCTTCACAGGTATCACAAAATATCTGGAGCACTTCATTCTCTGTAAAACCTGTTTGCAGGCGCTGATTCATCAGATTGACCACCTGGCCTCCTGAGAGGGTACAGAGCAAAGGAGACGTATGTTATAAACATTCAGACTTGTCACTCAGCCTGAGAGAATAACTGCCTGTCCAAAGATGGGCAGCCTGAACGTGGCAACAGCACCAATCACAGGATAAGCCAGGACTAAAACACAGGTGGTCCTGACTCCTAGCGTGGAATTTGTTCTCTTTGTGACCCAATGCCTTCTCTAATGCATTATGTTATAAGGCACCCCAGATGGGAGCTGCCCTCATTATGTCTTTGGGATGAGTATTAGAACTGACAATACGGTCCTGCTATCGTGGCCTGTTATACCGCCCCTTTGTGTATGAGATGAGGCCACAGCCTCAACCTGCCATATCTTCTATTATGAATTAGAGGGCACAATATGGACCCGGGGGCAGGGAAAAGAAGCCTTAGAGTCTGTATTTTAGGAACGGCCTTTTCTCTCTGGTTTTACTACTCACTGCGTGCATGGCTTGCAGAAATGCTACACCAGCACTTAACCTCCAGGACCAAAAGTCTGATGACCTTATTTACAAAATTATCTAGATCCCTGGCTGTTCCTACTACCTTGTCTCTTAACATTTTAGTTATGGGGCCAGCAGATGGGGTAGCAGTTACGTCGCTGGACTCCCACGTGGTCAAAAAGTTCAAATCCAAGACCAGTGGCTTCAAACTCATGCCAGGCTCATGTGTGTGTGTGTTCAAGATCCCAGGAGGAGGAGAATAGAAGAGAAGGGACTGCAGTGCAGCCATCTCCCTTCCCCCTTGGGGGAGTGATTTCTTGCTTTCTGTCTCTGTCTCTCTGGCGAACATACGCACTCTACAGGAAAAATCTCTCAAAAAAAATTTTTTTATGGCCTAAAGGGGATGAGAAGGAGTAAACAAACTGTCAAGTTCATCTTTGGTGGCACTTTACAGAATCAGGTATAATACCGGGAAGGCTAAAATGACTGGTTAAGCTAAAAGGCTAAAATTACTGGCCGTCTCTCCATTTCTCCGTCTCTCTAGTGAGTGCCTGTGCCCTATAATAAAAATCTCTCAAAAATAAATAAATAAATTTGGGGGATCACTAATATGTTCAATTTATGGACAATATCTTTAAGGGCTAGAAAATACTAAGCGTGATTATAAAACAGGGCACTAAACAGTAAAACAATGACCCAATCTTGTAGGTGGGAGCTGCTTAGGCCAAAAAAGTGAAACCTCCCAGCAATGATCATGTGAAATGTGGTTAACTCTGAATAAATTCATAAAGCCTGTATTCCCGAGATAAATGCTTCCCGAAACCAAGCTTTCATCGATTTAACTCCACTGTTAACATAGCAGTATCGAATATAGTCTTACTAGAAATGACAGTTCTATGGCAAAAAGAATAGAGTCATTCCTATAGGACAAAAGGGATCCCTCAAGCCCGTAACAGATGGATGGTGGTGTGAGTGGGGCAGAGAACACACGAGTGGGGGAGTGGGAGAGCAGCACTGTTCTTAGCCCATCTGGAGCTGGATCTGTACTGTATCTTCATTTATTTTAAAGCATCACAAAGGACGCATGCGCCCTGATTCTATGTTTTCAGTCACAGAAAAGCCACAAATCTTCCTAAACCTAAGGAAAATGAACTTGTGAATTATCCATCACTTTCAATTGTTTGTGCCATTGCTACTTGACATTGTAAGAATAGACAAGAGTGGACAACAGATTTTCTTTTAAACTCTTAGTTTTCCCATCTGTAAAACCAGGACAATATACTTTAGGGTGTCGTGTACAGTAAGTGACATGGCCTGCCACACCCTTGACAACAAAATGCAGAGAAATGAGAGCCTAAGAGTAAGGTTATTGCTTGCCGTCTCTCCAGTGAGTGTACGTGCCCTATAGTAAATATCTCTCAAAAATAAATAAATAAATAAATAGATTAAATTAAATTAAAAGTGAGGTTAATACACATACCTCTACAGAAGTCCATCAGAATGAGAACTTCCCATACATCGCCGCTACTCACATTGTTGATACTAGAATCAATGTAACCCACAATGTTCTTGTGCCCCGACAGGTCCCTCTGTGAAGAAGAGTTGAGAAATACACCCTCAGTTACAGATATCAATGGGGACAGAAAGAGCTGGTCAGTTCCATCAGCACAGATCATTTAAATAAACAGAGACAACGCTGTGTTGAGAAGTAAAGACTATAGAGCAAGGTCAGGAACAGGTCTCCAGCAGTCTCTGAGATTCATGGCCAGAACTTCAAAGGCAAGTTCACAACCCTACTAAGACTCAGCACTCCCAAGAACCTGAATTCTAGGGCCCAATGCACAGAGTGCCTACTTGCTCACTGCCTCAGTTCTCCATGTAAATCGGAAGCCAAAATCCCACCTCCAGAAACACTGCAGAGGAGCTAAGAGGAGAGAGACAGGATGAGCTACTTAAATATGTGAATTTTTAATTCAGAAATATAAAATTCTCTGGTTGTATAGGCAAAAGTGAGTTCTACCTGATTTTAAAATGGTTCATATTGTTTTTTTTTCTATTAGGAAATACATGAAAAGAATAACTATCTTGCAGTTATTTTTTATTATTCTATATTAAAGGGACTACCAAACCATCCAGACCTAAGCATTTTGCTCATAATTAAGTCCTTCTAAGAAACCAACTGGGACATAAGATGGGACATGTTTCTAGCTCTCCAGTTGGAACTGCATGTGATCTCTCAGGGCTGCTTATGGAATTAATTTATCTAACAAGTCTGTGCTGAGCATCTTCTAGGTGTCTGGACCAGGTAGGCACTGGAAATTGTCACACGCCTTGGCACAGTCATTTCTATGCTCACAAATGGAGATCTTTGTAGTATGATGTTGAACATCCAAGATAACTGAGAATTAAGTTAGGAAGGAAAAAGTGAATATACCGGGCAGTGTGTTTTGTGAACAAATATAAAGTGATAATTTCTTTTAAAAAAAAAAGAACTATTTTTAATATACAGCATAGAATAATGCCACTTCCTTAGGCCCTCAGTCCACCTACACTACTGTCATTTTTGGAAGTTCTTTCCTATATCCATCTGGAAACTTCCACCTCCTGATTTTCTAGATTGTCCTCTCTAGAGTAAAATTACAAATCTAGTCTTTTTTTTTTTTTCTTTTTTTTTTACTTCCTAAACAGGTGAAAAGTATTATTTAGATTGAGTCTTCTCATCTCTATGTTAAACACCCCCACTATCTTTGACATGTTGGCTGCTCCCACATTTATATACTTTGCTTTGCTATGTTCTTTTTATAAGAATGGCCCTAGGAAATCAATGAAAGAATACTCCAAGGCTGGTCTGACTCATGCAGAGTAGACCAGCACTATTTCCTTCTGTAATTCTATTAATGTAGCTAAAAATTACATTCTGCTTTTTTTTTTTTCCTTGGCAGCCACATCATACTATACACTTATATTGGGGTAAGTGACCACTTAAATACCTAAGTCTTTTTCTACTCATGCTGCTTTTAATCTTTTCCTCCCCAGAACTATGCTTGTAAAATTGATTAAAATAAAATAAAAATCCAAGTAAATGACCTTACCTTGCTATTTCATCTCATTAGAATCAGTCCACTGCTCCAATTTATAACAATCATTCTGTCACCAGATATAGTTGTTACATCTTCCAACTTTATATTAGGTGCATAATTGCACCTAATATATATAATACAAGTGTGTCTTCTATTTTTTTTTTTTTTTGAGAGATTTTCACTGTAGGGCGTGTGCGCTTGCCAGACAATTTTCACTGTAGGGCGCATGCGCTCGTCAGACAGACAGAGAGAGACAGAGAGACAGAAAGCGAGAAATCACCCCCCAGGGGGGATGGTCACGCCGCAATCCCTTCTCCTCCATTCTCCTCTCGGGATCTTGGGCACGCACGCACACACGCCCGGCGTGAGTTATAAGCCACCGGGTCTGGGACACGAACCGCGGTCGACTACGTGGGAGTCCAGCGACATAGCCATTACACTAACTGCTGGTTCCCGTGTCTTCTATTTCTTTAACCAAGTTATTCATTAAATATAAAATAGTGTAAAGTTAATTTGTAAACTACTATCTTAGGAAGTTTCCTCCAGATTAATATGAAAACACTGATCAGAAACCTTTGCCGCCAGTAGCAGTTACATCTAACTGTATTACTATCCAGTCTAGACTCACCATCTTGCTCAAAGATCTTTGACAAGTGTCCTTATCCAAACGAGTATCCAAAATCCACAAATACTGGATCTACTAGACCCCCCTTGAGCTCCTTACCCAGAGACCTTCCCAAAGAAGGACATGATGTTGATATGACATGGCTTGTTCTTAGTGAACCTGAAGGCTTTTTGGGTCCCTGCTTACTCATCCAAGTGACTACAAAACAACTTAAAATTTATTTTTTCCCCACAGTTATTATGTTAACATTAAAATAGTACAAAATATTAGATAATTATTTTCTACTCCAGTCCGCACTCCCTACAGAGAACTGCTTTTATTCTTTCTTTTATCTTCCCAGTGTTTGTTTTTTTTCAAGAAAACTCAAACAATATATATTATGTATACACACATACCAACTTTTTTACACAGAAGATAGCATCAAAGCATCTTTTTAGATAATCTGTTTTAGATTCTTGTTCTATATAAATTCTGAGCTCCCTACTATACAGACTCTACCCTTTATAAAGTATGAAGATATTTGCCTACCTCAAATTATCTGACCTCATTTTGTATTTTTTTTTAAGTTTATTTATTTTACTTATTCCATGAGAAAGAGAGAGATGGGCCCAAATAGGGTCTTCACACCACAATCCATCTCCAGCCTCACGTAGCTAAATCAGAGGCACTTATGCATCTGGCAAATAAAAGGAGACCTCTGGGCGCAAAGGACAGATCTTACCACGTGGGTCCAGCATCAGAGAGCACTGTGTTACTGCTGCCAGCCCTGATCTCTCTCCTGTTTTAAGCAGTTCTTCAAATATCACCAGTGCCAATTCAACGTCCTCATTATCAAGGACATAGTCCACGTGGAGCAGGAGATGTGAACACAAAACACATCTTGAGCTTTAGTTCTTTCCTATCACTGCTCTTGCCCCTTTAAGTTGGAAGATGATTCATCTTTTTCTGCCTTCAGGCAAAGGGATCAGAAGTCCAAATCCGCCTTTCAGTGTCCATCAGCAATCAGATGCCTTTGGTTTGATCAGAGCACACATTATAGGGGTATCATGAGACTCCTATCAGACTCTAGTAAATGATGGACAGCATTTATCAAAATAAAATGTGAACCTCTTTAGTGAAACCACTAACTCTTGTGTTTGGGTATGACATGCACATCTTTCCTCCACTCTAAGTACAAGAAGGAGTCTACTTGGAATACTAACACACAATCCTTGGCATGTTGGAAAGTTTATTACATCTTCCATCCCCTTTCAATTCTTACACTCTCCGAGAGGTAGGACCGGGGTTAAAGCTTCTATCTGATAGATGTCTGAGTGTAGTGGTATTAAAACATCATACAGGGAACCAGCAGTTAGCGTAATGGCTGTGTCGCTGGACTCCCACGTAGTCGACCACGGTTCGCGTCTCGGACCTGGTGGCTTAAATCTCACGCCGGGCGCGTGTGCGTGCATGCCCAAGATCCCGAGAGGAGAATGGAGGAGAAGGGATTGCGGCGTGACCATCCCCCCTGGGGGGTGATTTTTCGCTTTCTGTCTCTATGTCTCTGTCTGTCTGGCGAGCGCACGCGCCCTATAGCAAAAACCTCTCCAAAAAAATAAATAAATAAAAAAGCATTATACAGGACTCAGCCTTAGTGGTAAGTCCTACTAAAGATACTGATCCTTAAAGGCTGAAGTCACATAGGAGGCCCAGGTTCAACTCCCAGCCCATCCTACCAGGCTGGGTGTGGTGGCACATAGCTAGTCCTAGCTAACTGGGAGGCTGAAACAAAAAGTTCATGACATGACGAGACTGCCAAAATCTCTCTCTCATTAAAAAACAGGAAAATAAAATAAAACAAAAAACCATCACATAAGATTTTAGATTTAAAATGATAGAAAAATGACTATTTTTTTAAAAATCTACACAACTTAAAGGAATGGACCAATTTCTCAAAAAACACAATCAAAACTCACCCATAATAAAATAAAATATCTGAAAAACCCTATAACAATTAAAAGAAAATAAATTTATCATTTAAAAACTCCCCAAAAAAGACATCTCCAGACAATAGAGAATTCTACCAAATCCTTAAAAAAGAATGAACACCAAACCTACACAATCTCCTCCATAACACAAAAGAGGATGGAACACTTCACAATTCATGTTATGAAGCCAACATTTCCCTGATATCAAAACTAAAAAATAAAAGACAGTTAAGAAAAAAGAAAGAAAAGCTACGAATCATTATCTCTCATGAATGTAGATGCAAAGATCCTTACCAAAATATTGGCAAACAGAATTCAACAATATACACTGGCCTAGCTGTGGCAAAACAGGGAGTGAGGCACCACTGCATGATGCTGGAGCCCTATGGGAAGGCTCTGGGTTTAGATCCTGGGTTAACCTGGATGGCTGTATGGTGTAGGGGGATCACAGCATAATGAGACCTGTGGGAGGTACTTGGCTGGCTGTCTCTCTCATATGAGAGAAATAAATCTATAAAATAAAAACTAAAAAGAGAAAAAAAATCAACAATATATAAAAATAATTATAGGTCATGATCAAATAGATTACTAAAGGAATGCAAAGTTAGTTTGGTATTCAAAGTAAGCAATCAATACTGACAGGCTAAAGAAGATCAATTGATGTAGAAAAAGCATATGACAGAATTCAATAACCATTAATGATGAGAACTCTCATAAAATAGGAATATAAGGGAAACATCCTTAAATTTATTTTTTTTTAATGTACAGAAAACTACAGCTAGCTTTGCGCAGTGGCAGTATCGTAGCCAATGAGGTTTATCCGAGGCGCGATTATTGCTAATAGAAAACTACAGCTAACCTTATACTTAAGAGAGAAAGACCGCTTTTATCTTAAAGTTGAGAAGATTGCAAGGATGTCCAGTCACAGTCATATTCAACATAGTAATACAAGTTCGAGCTGGTACAATTAGGCTAGAAAAGGAAATAAAAAGAAAGAAAGACACCTAACTCTCTCTCTTGCAGATACTGTAGTAGTTTATGGCGAAAACCCTAGTGATTCTACAAATATGTTCCCTAAAACAATAGACAAATTCAGCAGAGATGAGATACAAGAGTAGTTTATGGAGAAAACCCTAGTCATTCTACAAATACATTCCCTAAAACAATAGACAAATTCAGCAAAGAGATGAGATACAAGATAATCATATAGAAATGGATTATCTTTCTATATACTAGCACTAAATACATGAATACTAAAATGTAAAAATATGGTATAATTTACCATCACTGAAAAACCTAGGTACAAGTCTAAGAACAGGTATAAGACTTTTGTACTGAAAACTACACAACATTAATGAAAGAAATCAAAGATATAAATAAATATAGAGACATACTTTCCATTTGCTAGAAGACTAGACATAGAAAACATTTTAATTCTTCCCAAATTGAAATTCAGGTTATATATTTTTATCAAAATTCCAGGAAGAGTTTTTGCAGATATATTAAGTCATTGGAAAAGTTGTGACATATTGCTAGGATTGTTCTAAAATGTGTATGAAGACAAAAAAAAAAAACCCACCTGGAATAGTTAGAATAATTTTGGAGAAAAAGAAAGTAGAAGGAATCAGTCTCATTTCAAACTTACTGCAATACATAACTACATAACTGAGGCTGTGTGGTGCTGGTGGAGGCATAGACACATAGATTAATGGAACAGAATAGTGAACAGAGAAGGGGCTAGAAGAAGACTTTCAAAATAGAAGTCCAACTAGTTTTAACAAAACTATTCAATGTAGGAGAGACAGCCTTTTCAACAAATGGTGCAAGAGTAATTAGACCTCCATAAACAAAACAATAAACCTCTGACCAGCCCATGGCTTGGTGATTAAAGGGTTGGAGCCCACATTGCCAACTGGGTGGTTCAAGTCCCAGACCTGGCAGCTTGAAAAACATGCTAGGCACGTGAGTGTCTGCCTAAAATTCAAAAGGAGAGAGAAAGGAGGAGAAGAAACTGTGGTGTGACCAGACCCTTTAGGGAGTACTTTCTTGCTTTTCCTTTCTCTCCCCCTCTCTGTCTCTAGCAAGTACATGCATCCTTTGGCAAAACAAAACAAACAAAAATGCCCTCAATCTAAGCTTCACACCTTATATGATAATTAACTCAAAATAGATCATAAACTTAAATGTAAAAATAAAGCTATAAAAGTTTTAGAAAAAAAATAGGAGAAAATCTTCAGAACTGAAGGCTAGACAAGAATTTCTTAGACCTCACACCAAAAGCACAATCCATAAAAAGAAAAAATGATAAGATAGATATCATTGAAATTAAAAAAAAAAAAAGAAGAAGAAGAAGAAAGAAACCCTAAAACAAAACAAAAAAGTCTTAGAAATGAAAAAGTCTGAGACTGGCTGGCAGGTGGCCTGATGGTTAAGGCAATGGACTTCCACATGGCCGATAATGGTTCAAGTCTTGGACCTGGTGACTTGCTTTTTCACTTTCTCTCTCTCTCACTCAGCAAATTACATAATAATAATAATAAATAAAATTTAATTAAAAAGAAGTCTGGCTTAATGCTTACATCACTGGACTCCTACTGGCTGACTGTGGTTTGAGTCTCAAACACAGTGGCTTGAAACTCACACAGAGTATGTGTGCATGCATGCCCAAGATCCTGGAAGAAGAATTAGAAGAGAAGGAATTGCGGCATGGCTATTCCCCGTAGGGAGTAATTTAATACTTTCCTTCTCACTGTCTCTGTATGTCTCTCTCCGGCAGGTGAATGCACCCTAAAGCAAAAAACTCTTAACAGAAAGAAAAAAGGAAGGAAGGAAGGAAGGCAGAAAGGAAGGAAGGAAGGAAGGAAGGAAGGAAGGAAGGAAGGAAGGAAGGAAGGAAGGAAAAAGTCTGGTTAAAAGATGGTTAGAATATAAAACTGAGGAAGTATTTCGGAATGTAGGATAAAATGACAAATGAAAAATAGGAGAAAGCAAGAAAATTAGAAAAATCAATTCAGGAGAGCCAACATGCAAATGATCGTTTCAGATAAAGGAAGGAGAGAAAAGAAAAACCATAAAATAAGACAAACTACAATTCCCCAGAATGCAAGGATATGAGTTTTTAGGTGAAATGGTACCACCAAATACTTCACACAATAAACATATGCACTCACCAAGGTTTATCAAGAAATTTCAGAACAAAAAAATCTGGCATTAAAATGACTTAGGATTTCCTCAAGAGTAACACTGAGAGCTCAAAGACAGTAGAGCGAAACTTCCATAAATCTGAATGAAATGATTTCCAATTTTGTACTCAGAGTCTACCATATATAAGCATAGGATAAAGATATTTTGAGACCTGAGGATGCTCAAAAATGCACCTAGCAGACATTAGGAAGCTACTGGAGAGGATCACCTCTACCAAAATGATAAAGTAAAGCAAAAAAGACAAAATAAGGGGAACACAAAGAAAGGCAAAAGGAATGCATAGGAAATTCCAAGATAAGATTAGGCCCAGAGAGCAACCAGTCCAGGTCAGAAAACTAAGGGAGAAATATTGAATATTTATACAGTTTAGGAAGAGCTTGTAGTTAAATGGTTGAAAAGTACAGAGAAAACAGAGACCAAAAAAAGTGGGGGAAAAGACTGATTAATTTTAGTGAAAACAGAGTTGTATGGGAAAAGTACAGCAATCACACTGCACCTAGTATAATAAATAATAAACACACAAACGAGGAATTCAGCAGAAATAGATTTTTCTTACATAATAATATAAAGACTAACATGTTACCAAGACTTACTGTTAAGTTGGAAGAATGGAGGATGAAAATACTACAAGGATTTGGGGAAAGGAGCATGCAGAGGATGAAAGAGAACTAAATCTTTACTCTTCATAGAAGGTAATATCGAAAATGAAGGGGGAAAAATCAAGAACCAGCAATAACAATATATTATTTAGAAATATATCAAAACAACTAAAGTGGCTGTTTCTGGGACCTTAAAATAACATAGGTGGGGACCAGCAGATGGTGTAATAGCTATGTCGCTGGATTCCCATGTAGTCGACTGTGCAGAGTCGGTGGCTTAAACTCATACCGGGGTCGTGTGCATGCATGCCCAAGATCCTGAGAGGAGAATGGAGGAGAAGGGATTGCAGTGTGGCCATCCCCCCTCTGGGGGGGGGGTGATTTCTCACTCTCTGTCTCTATCTTTCTGGCACACACATGCACCCATAGCAAAAACCTCTCAAAAATAAATAAATAAATAACATAGGTAGATCCCTGAGGGAATTGCTGAATGTGTTTCTGTTAAGAGCTTAGTTCAGCTATTTCACTGTTAGGTTTGGAAAAAAAATGTAAACAAAATCAAAAACAAAAATCTGATGGCTAGTACATTACCAGGCCAGAACCTGAACCCCCGTAATTTAACTCCTAACCAGACACTTTAATTAGTGAGTTCCCAGTAAGCCTGTGTTCCTGTGCCAGCCTAGCACAAAGTAAGCCCTCCAACATGTTTCTAAATTAAGGGAAGAAAGTGAATGAATGGGATTATATTTGTAACACAAGAAAATGAACGCGAAGGGCATTCCACACACAGGAAACAGCAGAAGCAAAACAGGAAACAAAGTGTGTGAGAGTTGAGCAAACGTGAACAAGGAGGGAGGAAGACTGAAAAGTACCCAGGAAACCCACTGGTTTATTAAGGGAGATACAGAGGGAGCAGTTCAGTGCTGCATTGTTAGTGGGATGGGAGGACACTGGTGCCTTGCAGATCCGTATGATCTTGACTCGATGTACATGAATCTCAGGGCTTGATCGGGTGGTTCTGCACTGCTGATAGTTCCTTCCCTAATAGTTTCACCTTCCTGGAATCTAAAGATGTAAGAGAGCGCTCTAAAATCCTGAGTTCTTTCAGTAGTCCAACTGCAGCACAGCTAGTTACTTTAAGCAGCCACTAAAAGAGCAATCCACAAGGTGCAGAATCCATACAATGATCCCCCAACCTTTTTTTTTTTGCTCTCTTTTAGCTCTTTACAAAAGCATTAAAATTCGGGGCACAAAGAAATGATCCTCTCTAGGTAAACATGTCTCTGATATACTATTATTTAGATATTCATTTCATCCAAAGTTTAGTTAGCATTTGTTATAAAATGTGTTAGAGTATAAAATTTCTGATTTTAAGTAACTTTCTGATGGTAGAACTACTTACAACGTAGTAAGTTAAACAATATAACAAATATAAACAAAAACATCACAAAAATGCAAAAGAATAAGAGATAATATATTTAAAGTTTTTTTTATTATGTATGCTAAACAGAGGTAAGAGGACACTAGTCTAAAAAACGGAAATATTCATCCTTCTACTTCTGTCACTATTAACAGATGGTCAATACTATTTCTCTTCTATACACATTCACTGCTTTCACGGCATCATTACTTCATCCATAAATATTTCAGCATGTACGTCTAAAACACAGGGACTCTTTCTTTAAACATAATATAAATCTGAATGTTAAAAAATGAGTAAGTTTTTAAAAACTGAGATACAGGGGCCAGCAGGTAGGTGATGTGGTGCGGTGGTTAAGATGCTGGACAATCCCACATGGTTGACCGTGGTTCCAGTCCCAGACCTGGTGGCTTGCTTTCTCCCTTTTTCTCTCTCTGGTCAAATTAAAATAAATGAACGAATAAATTAAAAATTGAATAAATAATTTTTAAAATAACCTGAAATATAATTAACCTATAGTAAAATGCTGATTTTAAGATATTCAATTGAATTCTGGTAACTATATACCCTTGGGTAACTACTACCCCCAAACAACACAGAGAATATTTCCAAGGCCCAGAAAGTTCTCACACGCCCCTTTCTAGTCAATTTCCCACACCCAGATAACCACTTCCTGGTTTTTATCTCAATTCTGTCTATTCTTTACCTTCTATAAATGGAATCATAGAGTATTTATGAGGTTTTTCAGTTTTGGCCAGAGTTTCTAAGCCAAAAAATGAAGAAGGCATTCAGGTGGAAAGAACTACATGCACAAAAATGCTGACAAGCTCAGAAGGGGATGGAAACAGCCACAAGACTAGAGGAGGTTCATTAGAGAGTTAGGGTTTCCAGATTAAACGTCGCAGTTATTTTCAGAGAATGAAACTGTTAAATATGTTTTCCCTGATGCCCAAAATTAAATAATGGCTTGTTCTCTCAATACATTCCTCTACCCTTAACCCTTCAGCCAAGGGTGACCAAAGCACGAGCTACATCTTCTATGCCATGGCTGTTTGCTCTTATCACACTCAGAGGTCCCTCTGCCATCTAGAGGGAGAGAACAAGCTTCTTTAGCTTTCTTATGAGAGGACACAGGTTCTGATCCCCTCCTCCTCCTCTACCACCACCACCACCACCACCACCACTGCTGCCGCCATTTTGAATACACAGTCCCAAGTCCAAGAGTCAGCCTTACCATAATTTGGATTTCTCTCTTGCACACCTGGAGGTCATGTTCATTGTTGACAAACATGCGTTTCAAGGCACATTTCATCCCATTGCTTGTCCTCACCAGAAATACAATAGCAAATCCACCTGTGAGAGAGAAACACAAACAATATTTGATTCAAACTAAGAACTTTTCTTTGAGTCATGTTCAAAAAGCAAGCCAAATAACCATGGTGGCTTCAGGTTGCTGCTATCACTGTTGATGGTACTGAAGTCTCAGGGCAGCTGGTCCTTAGGGCTGGCCTGGCCTGGACTGGGAGACATTCTTAGATTGTTGAATCTCAGAGACATTACTTGTAGGACTGAGTGGGAGGAGTTAGAGAAATTATTATTATTATCATATCTTAGGATAGAGGGGGAATACTAATTTTTCTTCCAAAGAACCTACAAATAAGTGGATGAATGAGAGAATAAAAAAGACAAACTACATTCTAAGCCCTATCCTGGACAGCTTGATGTTCTTGTTTACTTCTACCACAATGCTATAAGGTTGGGTGTCATTTTTCCCTGTAAAAAAATAAAAATAAAAATAACTATATACTGAAAGAAACACACACACTCAAAAATACTTGATTCAAACTAAGAACTTTTCTTTTAAACGTAAGTTCAGTACTCTTCACTACCAGAAAAGATAGGAAATCATTTCAACAGTTGCTATTATAAATAGTTACAATTAATTTCAAGAATCTCTTTCTTTTCTTGTCTCATCCTTCCTCATTCCACTCCCTCAATTCAAATCTAACAATAGATCTTGAGGACCTCTTCTGCTCTCCCACCTCATGGACTCTTGAGAATATACAAGAAGTAGCTACAAAAGTGCTACATAGCACATGGTAGACAAGTAAGGCTCAATTAATGGACAGACTTTTTTTTTTCCTTTTCAGTTTGCTATATATGGTGCAAGTACCTGCAGGGGAAAGAGAGGGAAAGACAGAGACAGAGAGAGAAATGAGAAAGCCCCCCTATGAGGGATGGCCACACCAGGCCTTTCTCCTCTATTCTCCTCTCAGGATTTTGGGCATGCACACACATATACCCAGCATGTTCTTTAGGCCACAATTCTGGGACTTGAACTGTGCTGTCGGCCATGTGGGATCCAGCCGTCTTAATCACCACACCACTGGCTGGTCCTGGACAGACTTTTTAACATCCACACTAGCCTTTCTCTAAAACACAGTTCACAATTCATTAACAGAAATTTATATAACTCTAATAGGAATTTTCAAATGTTTTATATCTGTAGCAACTGAGCATTCTATAAAATCTTGGAATTCCTAACCTAAATCTCACTTCTAAACTCTGTATAAGGTGTTCTACACTGTTGTTAGGAGGACTTAGATACACAAAATGTGGAAAAACTCTCAAAATTGACAGCTTTAAAATAAGTAGCAGTTATATTGGACACTCAGTCCATCTGCCCACCTTGTACACCTCCATCCTTTGGTTTGCATATTCTTTCCACTGACCCTATATAGCTAAAAGCTTGCTAGGCTATCCTTTGTACAAGGGAGATCATTAATTGGATAGAGGAGAACAGAGAGGGCAGCTGTCAATATGGGAACTTGAGTTGAGGTTATAATGTAGTATTGGGGCTTGCAGCCACACACAAACTGGTACAGAACACTAAGCAGTCATTATACAGAGCTCAGGGCTACTCTAATTCCCAGAAAGAGACACAGAAAGAAAAAATCACACACCCCCCAGGGGTAATGGCCACACCATAATCCCTCCTCTTTTCTCCTCTCGGGATCTTGGGCACACATGCATACATGCCCAGCGTGAGTTTAAGCCACTGGGTCCAGGACTCGAATTACAGTCAACTACATGGGAGTCCAGCGACATAGCCATTACACTAACTGCTGGTCCCTTGAGTAGGTTTCTTCTGCAACCAAAAATAGCTTTAATCATAAAGCACTGTTGCTTGTTTTCATAAAATACACATAGAATTCTGTTAAAAAAAAAAGTGAGCTAAATGTTCCATATATGTATTGTGATAATGATTTACCAAAGACTTCAAATGTGCATTATGATAATGATTTATCCGAGACTGTTTATATTTTCTGTCACTATGTCCTTTTTCAATATTCAGATAAACACGAAAATTACCATACAATCTTTGATTTTAACTGTCACCTCTCTAATCTTTGTATTTCAATGACATTTTCCACTTTTTACGGAAATAAAAAAATACTTGGAAGTCTACTCACATGCTCAGTTATCAATTTTAGTTCTAGTTCTGAGTTATTTACTTTTAAAAATACAGCACTGACAATTAGAGGTCTTAGTAGTTCATACCAAAACAGTCACTTCTAAGAAACATTTTATATTTTAATTTTTAGAGCATAAGAATGTGTCTTATCATAAACATATACATTTAATGCAGTGGTATTCTAATTTTTTTTTCCAAAAAGAGGTTCTAAAATCCATGATAGATTTTATAAGTAATTAGTGTAGAAAACAGTAATATGAATTGTAAAATTTCTAGGAATAGTCAAAATTGTTTTATAAATAGTCCAAGTGGCATTCATTTCATAGATATCTTGAATTAAAAAAAAAAATTACATGGGGGACCAGCAGTTAGCATAATGGCTATGTCGCTGGACTCCCACGTAGTCGACTGCAGTTCGAGTCCCGGACCTGGTGGCTTAAACTCACGCCAGGCGCGTGTGCGTGTGTGCCCAAGATCCCGAGAAGAGAATGGAGAAGGAATTGCAGCGTGGCCATCCCCCTGGGGGGGTGATTTCTCGCTTTCTGTCTCTCTGTCTCTCTCTCTCTTTCTGGCAAGCGCACGAGTCCTACAGCAAAAAAAACTCTCTCCAGAAAAAAAAATGACAGAACTACAGGCTGCTGCAGTAATGCTCCTCAAGAGCAGCAAGACCGAGCGTTTTGCTTTATGAGTGCAGAAACCAAGTGAGGTTTAGAAACCTCATGCCTAATCATAGGTAGAGAACCCTAGGCAGGATCCTGCTTCTGACTACCCAAAGAAAAGTTCTTCCCATTTCACTAATCATGAAGGAAAAAGTTGGGAATGGGCATTTCTTTCTTTCTTTCTTTCTTTTTTTTTTTTTTTTGAGAGGTTTTTGCTATAGGGTGCATGCACTCGCCAGACAGACAGAGAGACAGAAAGCGAGAAATCACCCCCCAGGGGGGATGGCCACGCCACAATCCCTTCTCCTCCGTTCTCTTCTCGGGATCTTGGGCACACACGCACACGCGCCTGGCGTGAGTTTAAGCCACCGGGTTCAGGACTCTAACTGCAGTCAACTACATGGGAGTCCAGCGACATAGCCATTACGCTAACTGCTGGTCCCAGGAAATGGGCATTTCTTAAGAGTTCTGTTAGGTCTGGCACCAGGAAAGGACAAGGCAGTCCTTTGGAAGCAGGTTGATCATGCTGCAATTTGAGATAACTGCCACCAGATGGGAGCCGTTTTCTTTGCCAGGTAGAAAGATCACCTTTCCAGCCTGCACTGGAAAAAAAAAAAAAAAAGGGTCAATTGCCTTCGACACAATCCAGCAAAAACAACCGGCTGAGAAGAGCCAGCCCAGATTCTCAAAGCCTATGACCATGATAAAGCTAAAAGCAAAGCAATGAGTCACTAAGCCTGACATTGAGGGAACTACATTATTAAGCTCCTGTGCCAATAAAAGGGTTTACTTGTAGGTAAGACATATTGAAATCATGAGAGACAAACACAAGCCTAATAGGTTTGTCAGTCTGAAGGTGTAGGCCACTATCCCAGTGTAGCTGACCAATAGAGTGGTAACCCATTGACTTAGAAGGTAGAAAGGAAACAGTACCACTTATTTCAGACTGAGTTGCATTCGAAGACTTTGATTAAACGGAAACCTCTAAAGCTGATGGGGATGGTTTGGACAGAGATAAGAAAATCGAACATTCAGCTAAATGCCTTGTGCCAGGCTCTGCCTACTGGCATTTTTTGAAATACTAACCTCATCCATATTTTACGGAAACACGAAAGGAAAAAGGATCATACCTATTATGTGAAGCAAGTGAGTGAAGATGTCAGGATAAGTCTGACACAGAAACATTTTGCCTTCTAAATATGCAAGAATATTTTTTTCTAACCTTCCACAAAGAAATATGCTTTCTCTCATTTCCCCTGAAATATACAAAGATCTAACTTTATTCTTTATTCTTCTAATTTTCAAAAGAGATATGGATGCGTATTTATAACACACAGTGATCACTCAATAAAAAAAGAACTTTCCTCTTGATCACTACTACGGAGAACAGATAAGACCACCGAGAGTGATGGAGACCATGGGAAACTAGTGTGGATGGCCCATGTGAACAGAGCTATTATGCAACTCGAGGTAATTATTGCCATGTGGGAAAATAAAGCCAGTCTTACCAGGTCTGCTTGTTTCTGAAACCGAAAATTTCAGGGAGAAACTTTCGTATTTAAATTTTGGCAACAAATCACATTTTAAATTAATGATGGGCAAGCCAACATCATAGAAACTAAATAAAACACATCTGAAAGGTTTAGAGAATCTCAGAACTTCAGTTTTCTATCTCTGATCTAGTCTAACCCCTTCGTTTTAATGATGGGTAAAAACTGATGGGAAAGTGACATAGTCCATGCTCCACAAAGTTAAAAGATGAACTGCAGGTGGCATGGAGGTTAAGGCACTGGACCCCAAATAGCCAGCTACATGGTTCAAGTTCCAGATCTGATGGCTTGAAAAATCACATCAAGTGTGTATGCACGTGTGCCTGAAATCTCAAGAAGAAACTGGCATGGCCATTGTCCTGGGGGGCAATTTCTCACTTTCCCTTTGTATGTCTCTCTCTGGCAAGTGCAATACACCTTATAGCAATAAATAAATAAACAAAAATAAATATATACACATACATACACACTCATACACACAGGATTGTTGGAAAAGTCCTATTTTTTTCTATGCAAAAATGTGTCATGACTTTTCCAATACACACACACACACACACATACACACACATATGTGTCCATATATACATATAAATGCATGTATTGCTCATCATGGTTCTTGCCTTTTTCTTAAAGAGAAATTTATGGACCATTCCCCCCACCTAATATTTG